GAGGATTTCACTTTCTTCTGAAGCATTAAGCAAAAGTGACTGCTGATATGAAAAAATCCCATATATAAGATTTTTTAAATTCCCATAATTTTTCTAACTTCTCTGAAGAAAGAGGTCAACAAGTTAACTTTTATCTTTCTGCCCAGAAACATTTCATCAATCCCACTTAGGAAAGATGAAACGTCTTTCGAAATCATTAGCATGAACAGTTGGTAGCAGAAGTAGTTTGCTTTGAAAGCAGCAACTCTGCTATTAATTTCAAGAGTTATGGGAAATTTTAATTATTGACATTTTGAATTCTTTAGAATTTGAGCACCACCAGTGCTGTTTTCTTGGTGTTCTTTCCTCAGACTCTCAGTTCTAACAAGGTCAGTAGTAAAATCACCCAGAGCGTGACGTGGTTAAGCCAGCTGAGGAATAAGGACATAAAAGGGTTTGAGGGATGACCAAACCTGTGAGGGGAGGGGAGGGAGGGAGATGCGAGGGAGCTGAGTTTTCACCCACTGCAGTACTGTTAAAACGTACATGCCCTTTTTTTGATGTACGTTGCACCCACAAATTGGTAATGGCACGTGCCAATGGATGTATTTGTTGTGGTGTGTCTGTGGAGCCCCCTGACTGGGATTGGATGTTAGTCCAAAAGCTCTGCCCCTACATGCTGTCCCATCACAGAAATCTGTGTGCTTCTCCTGCAAAAAAAACTGAAGGGAGCCATTTCTACTAGAAGTTAAGCTGTTCTTTGGTGGCCTCCTCCTTTCCCACGTGCCTTTTTGACAGCCTCCTCTTAACCTTCCCAAGTCGTCTTCCAGGCGGCTGGTATGATAGCACAGATGCCCTCACCTGGCTGCTTCCCGAGAGATTGACACGGAGCTGAAGAACTTGGCTCAGGCTTGGTGTTTCTGCATGCCCTAAGTGATGTTTTCCCCTCTCCAAGGGCACCCGCAAGCAACGCTTTTTTAAAGGGGGCCTCGAAGTCCTTTGGTGGTGCCAGAAAACCCTCCCGGGCAGGTGCTGGAGATCTGGCAGGCTTCTTCTATGGCTTGGTTCTCAGCCCATTGGCTTCACGAGTGGGTACGATTTGGCAGGACAACATGGGAGGCAGTCTTCTAAGGGAAGGGTGGGTGAGTTTGCAAATGGGAGCGGGTACACTAGCACGGAGGCGGTGCCAGACGGGTGCATTTTCTCTTCTGTACAGCTGTAGCTAACCCACCCGATCAGTAGTGATGGTTTTCATTACAGCCCCTCAGCACAGCTGCAAGGTGGGTCGGTAATTTCCCCCGCCGCCACTCCCCCAGCCTTTTCCTTCCCCTTCCCTGGACATGCTGTTTGTCATCTGCTCGCACAGAGCCTCCTTGTGCTGGGCTGTGGCTTCCTGTGCTAAATCTGATCCAAATTTGTGCTGTGAGGTATTCCCTCCCCCTTGAAGGGTGGCAAAGAGGAAAATAACAGTTGAGAGTTGAATAGGTGTTGGCTGTGATCTTTACATGTGCTGGCAGCAGATCCCACGACTTGTATTAGCTGCACAAGTTGAACAGATGGAACAAATTGACAAAACCGTGTTCACTCACGCTGTGCTCGAGGAGCAGCTGAGTTGCTGTTTGAAGTTGAAAGTTTTGAGTGTGGGGGTTTTTTTCCCCCTTGTGGTGGAATTTCTGGTTATATCGTAGAAGCTATTGCCTCAGTGCTCTGCGGTAGCCCAAACCAGTTAATGAGAGTGGTGTGTGTCCTCCTCTGTGGCCCAGTGCACTTGGCCAGGGTTTTGGCAAGGCAGAGGGGAGTACAGAGAGCATTTCCCTCCTAGATAATGGACTAAATGCCTCCTCTGGTTTTAACTCCACAGTAGGCAGTGAAGTCGGATCAGGGCTGAACTCAGCCCTTTACTGTTCTGGCACCTACCAGGTCAGGGCAAGACTTAACTTTCTTTTGAGGAGGGTGCATATGAAAGAGGTGATAAATGCAAATATGCTTATGGAGTTTGGAGTGTGATGATTCTGGAATTGCGGTTCATGAGGAAAAGCACTTTTTATTCTAGACAGTCACAACTCTTCCCCATAGACTTCTCCAGGTGGAGCGCTAGGTTGCTCTCAAAGGCTCTGAGAAGGATGCAGGACCAGAGAGTCCTAATCCCATCCAAGAACTCCTCTTTGCTTTGAGGGGAAGCTGGTTTATGCTGGTGCACAGTGCACTTGCAGCTTGCTAGCTCAGCTTTGCTGGTCTGCACAGCACGGGAAGGCTCTTGAGGCTTCTCCCTTGTACCTTCTGGCTTCCCCTGCCTTATTTTTGGGCAAAATACTGGACATGCACCTGGTACTTTACCTTCCCACACACTGACAGTGAATAAGGAGCCGCAAATGTAGGAGGCAGCAGGTAGATAATTTTCTTCCTGATTCAGCAATGAGAAGGAGTCGTTATTTCTTACTGCTGAAATTTGTTTCTAAGAGCAGTTGCTTACCTACTTGTTCTGTTTTCCCCTTACCTCCCTTAACTCTTCAGGACTTCAGGATGCATTTGACAGTGACTGGGAAATGGGGAAGATCACTTACAACAATTACAAAAATGGATCTGATGATGCTGTTTTAGCTTACAAACTCCTGGTACAAACAGGCAACCGAGCAAAGCCCATTGACATCAGCCAGGTACTGTATCAGACTCCATACTGGTTTATAGAGGAATACAGAAGTCATCAGGAGTGGGGGGAGATGCAAAGAGTCTCTTTTTTCATCTTGATGAATTGAATGCCTGAGTTACATCTGACTACGTGGCCTCGCTGACTTTGTTGAAGGCAGTTGTTAGCTGCAGTCTGGCCTGTGTTGCAAAGCGTTCAAAATCAACACTGGGAATGCTTGCCCCTTGGTTATTACCAATTGGCATGTGTTCAATGCTGCTCCTCTGTCAGATGCACTCAGTTTGCACTGAAGTCGTGGAAGAGGCTTTGCCACATCCGTAGGTAGATGGATGGTCTGTCTGGTCCTGTGCCAGACAGAGCCAACGTTAGCCTTGTTGCCCTGAGTGGCGCTGGTTCTGATTTGAATCAGATTGCCTTATAGCGTTGACAGTTCTTTGCGGTGGTTTTGAATCTAGCATTTGCAATTATTTGGTTAGTTCCTACCTATTTATGCAAAACGTAACATTTAAAAAAAGATGTTGATGAATGATAGTGGAAGGGGACTGAAATCATTAACATGCTGCATCATATTCTTTTACCATCACCACTAAATACAGCTATACTGCTGTAGAACTAAGAACAGCAGTTGTTTGAGCTGCCTAAATGAAATACATCTGAGGGTTTTTTTGGAAGGTTATCGCAGCATATGAATATATTTGCTGTAGTCCTTGGTAGGTGGAAACACATTAGGTTTGCCTCCTTACACTAAAGTTAGATTTCGAACCTCTAAGAAGAGATTCTGCAATAACCAAACTTCTCCTGTCCTAGCATCATCATCAACTTGCAGTGCTTCCAGGCAGAAAAATAGTCTTTCTAATGAGCTTCTTGGCAGATCTGCTTATTGTCTTTCTTTTTTTCCTGGCATTAAAGGTGACAGATTTACGGAGTACATTGTCCAAAGTTACTATGGAGTGTAAAACACACTGCTTTATAGCAACATGCAGCATGTTGTCAGGTCTGAATGAAGCTCCAGCTATGAATTAAGCAAAGAAAGGGAGTTGAAGAGAAAACCTTCAGTGAGATTTTTGTTTAGCGGAGTGTACCAGGTACTCTGTGGAACAAATGTGATTGGACTGCAGCTGCTGATATAATTTCCTATGCCTGGGAGGGAGAAAAGTGTGGTGCACCCACAGGGGCTGAGTGCTGTACTGTGCGGTTCCAGAGACAGCTTGAAGACATACAGTTGTTGCATATCCTGTGGACTAATTGAATCCAGATCCTTGGAATCCAGCTTTTTTTTTTGGCCTTTTTTTTTTTTTTTAAACGGCTGTCACTGTTGTTTTTCATTTCATTAAAAAGACCTGAAACTGGAGCTGAGCCAGTATTTTAAATAAACAAAACAAAAAAAACCCAGTAATACTTTTCACCCGCAGAGTTCTCTGTCAGAGCTCTAGCTGTGCAGGATTTGGCTACAGAACCCTAGAAGTGTACCACTGCTGTTTACCCCACAGATGCATTTGCCCACAGTGACCCAAGTAACACAGGGCACTCGTCTGCTTTCTTGATGCTGGACATTTTCTGGATACATAGGTCATAGGAGGCAAGTGTTAGCAAAATTTATACAGATGTTGTTTTATTTTTATAGCTCTCCTCCATTTACTGGGTGGCATTTCCTTCAGTGTTAACAACAGAGGTTAACTGCACACAGACGTGTATAGGGACTCTTGCCAGGTTTTCTTTCCCTTTCTTCAAATATGTTTCTCCAACTTGGTTGTTTTTCACTCTTGGCTGCAGGCTTTCAGAACTCAGATTTAATTGGTTCGGTCTATTCTGGAACTGTCTGCTGATTTAGTGGTTATTGTAAATATTATATGAGTACTCATTTATAAATAACCACTTTCTACTGTCACTGTAGTTTTTTAGATTTTTTTGTTGTCGTTGTCAAATAACAGTTCACCAAAAAGTCACTTCAAGTGAAGATTCATACTCTTTTGCTTTACTTTTGCCCTCCTATATACGTGTTGCATCTTGAGACCATTTGTTGAGATCTCTACAGCAAGAGCCCGTGAACCAAAACCATTCTGAAAGGCTTCTAATTTTTTTCCATTTTGCAGTTGACCAAACAGCGTCTGGTGGACGCGGATGGAATCATTAACCCAAATGCTTTCTACATCTACCTGACAGCCTGGGTTAGCAATGACCCTGTGGCCTACGCCGCTTCACAAGCCAACATACGGCCTCACCGCCCAGAGTGGGTCCATGACAAAGCAGACTATATGCCAGAAACAAGACTGAGAAGTAAGTAGCATTTCATCTTAATGTCTTACAGTTTATGTAAGTGCCCCCCGCCCTCCTTCCTTCAAGAACCGGTAACTCTGCAGTTGGCTAATGCTGCACAGGGCACAGAAGTGTGAACAGGACAGTATGTGGTGCAACTCTGATCTTAGGAGACCCATGCACCGTTGCAACCGTGGCACTGCCGCAGGGTTTTACCATGTTGAAAAATGAGTTTTATAACCATTTAAAGCTCTAAAAACTTAGAGTAAGCATTGCTTTTTAGTGTCGTCTCATAGCTCACTCTGTGAGGGAAACCTGGAAATTGCATGAAGTTCCTGCCTATGTCATTCTGAAATTTCATCACTGAGATTATGTCATTATTATGAATTGATATCCTCAATTCATAATAACTAAGGGAATTTTACCAAGTTAGCTCTTAGGCTACAAACACTGATACGGTACAAGAGCCACTTAGATAGGGGAGCAGTCCCATTCTGTGCCATTTGCTGTTTTCCTGAGCACCAATGCCAGTTCGCATTGCTTTGCTTCAGCTTTCAGTGTATCGAGGGGATGGCTAGTTGGACACCAGCGGGGAAGGGGAGAGGGCATGTAGGGGAGGACTGGTGCACTTGGAAATGTGCTTGGGTAACCAGCAAGCTGTGCTTCAGTGTATCCGAACCCTAGAGCTTTGTGGCAGTCAGCCAAGTCTTGTCTTAATTTATAGTTGAGATTATAATAGGGCAAATCATGTTTAGCAAGTCAACTGAATGACCCTGCAGGGTCTGGAACACACAACGGCAGTAACAAAATGCTTGTTGTGGAGGACTTTTTTTTTCTTGTCATACAGTAGACTTAGAATTATGCTCAAAAAGAAGTGTGGAGGGTGTTGGTTTGTCAAATTAATAAAGGATAAAAAATAACGTTTTTCCTCAGTAAACCACTACTTTTATATTAGGGTTTTTTTCCCATTTGTGAACATGAATTTCTGAATCTGACTTTCAAAATATTCAATGGAAATCTTAAAAATCAAAAGGCCTGATTGAACTTAATTTTTCTCTAGTTTTGTATCAGTGGACCTCAGTTAATCTTGGGGAAATGACCTTTGGTTTCAAAGGAACTGCAGTTGCGTCAAAGAAGGGCATTCGGACAAAACATGGAAGATGATGTGATCTTCTGCTTTGTATTGCAGTTAGGGAATTTTGGCCAGGTATTCAGTAAAAACCACTATAGCGCTGATAAGGATTAAATACATATGTTGAAACACTTCTGTTAAATTATATAGACTTGTTTGGGGACTTGATGTAGACTGTGTTCATCCCATCGCACTGCATGATAAAATACAGTAATCTTCTGTACTGCTTCAGCTTTCAGTTTATTGGGGAGTTTTTAAAATGTCACTTGTCCCAAAGAAGTAGAATTTAAGTTCAACACCCTTAAGCATTTTCCTGTGGAGAACAGTGTTTTGTTAATCATGTTTTCCTCTTCTTTCCAAACGCACATTTAACACTGCTGTCCCCTTTCTAGTTCCAGCAGCTGAGCCCATAGAGTATGCCCAGTTTCCTTTCTACCTCAATGGATTGCGTGAAACTTCTGACTTCGTGGAGGCTATCGAGAAAGTGAGAGCTATCTGTAGTAACTATACCAGCCTGGGGATCGCCAGCTACCCGAACGGTTACCCATTTCTCTTTTGGGAGCAGTACATTGGGCTTCGTCACTGGCTCCTCTTATCCATTAGCGTGGTTTTGGCTTGCACGTTTCTGGTGTGTGCCCTCTTCCTCCTAAACCCCTGGACGGCTGGGATCATTGTAAGTTTATTATAAGGGTCTTTGTTGAAGTCAAATTCCTTTCAGCATAGCTCTTGCTGTAGTCGGGAAGGTTTTGTTTATGTCTGGGCCTCTGGTGGAGTATGTATATTGCATCATTCATTACATATTTATTCAACTTGAGGGGGTAGGGTTCATGCTAGAAGTACAAACCTTAATAACCTTAATCCTTTGGCCACTTTTTTTACAGCTTTAAAGATTTCTTAGAAAGGTACATAAACTTTTGCCCTTGCTTAGATGCATGCCAACATGAGAAATAAAGACACACAGGAAAATTAAGAGCTTTATTAAATATTAAAAGCTATTTCTAATTATTTATTCCTTCTCCCCTTTTATCAGACATAGTTATTTTTCAAGGCAGTTGCTTGTGACTAACTTGCCCGTAAATTTCCCCACTGATTTCTGAATGCAGTCTTTCTGGAAAAAAACTGAAATGGTTAGGTTGTAGGCTACACGCTGTGGAAAGAGCGTAACTGAGCTATCGAGGAGAAAGAGCCATAAAATTATAAACTGAAGAGAATACTCCTCCATGCTTTCTGCAAGGCACCATAAGCCTCTCAGTAAACTTTCAAGTTAAAGTGAATGATGGTGTTCCTATGTTTAAATTCCATAAACTATTGTATGGTTTATAAAATGCCAGAAGTAGAAAAGCATAGAACAGTTACTAGTTTTTGTAATGTACGTTTAAACGACAGGTATGTTAAAAGGTAAATGTTTAGTCTAGAATATTTTTCATAGCACTTAATCAAGCAATTTATGTTATTACTCTTGATTCATTAGCTTATAAAATCATTTATTGTAGTGCATACTTTTTTCCCTTGGAAAAGGCATTTATTTTCAGAGTCCACCATTGCTTTTATAAGTATGTCTATCTTTTTTTCCTGCTTGGCTTTAGCAACTTTTAAAGTTGATTCTGCACATTTCCTCCCCTCCCTTTTCCTCAATTTTTTTTTTTTACAAGGTAGATGAAAGAAAAATAAAAGCTTTCTGTTAATATTTAACTGTTCACTTTGTCTGTGTCAGTCCCTCCAAGTGTCTTAAAAGCTCAGAGCCCCTCTGTAACCTGAGACTCATCAGCTGATTATGGCATTCACTTTCTTCTGGGCTTTAAACCTACTCGTAGTAGTCATCCTCACTTACATTTGCAGTTCTACAAAAAGAATTCCAATACAGGTAGTTGAAAGTTACTTTTTCTGGAAGGATTGTCTGAGAAACAGGTGAAAGAGAGAAAATACATGTTTTAGGGGATACCCATGGTAAGGAAGAATAAATTGTTTTTCAGGTCATTGATAAATTGTAACCAACACAAAAGTGATGCTTTTGCTAACTGGTTTTTAGGAGTGTAATTTAAACTGGCTTTTCAGCAAGTTGAGAACAACGAAACAAGGAAAAGTGTCTTGTCTTTGGGAATAGAGGGTGGCTTTGAGGAGATGTTGTACAAGTAGCCATGTTGTTTTGAAATATCTTTCTCTCTGTTTGTCTGGAGCATAAGGAGTTACTAACAGCTGTTTGAAATCATCTAGGTGGTGGTGCTGGCTCTGATGACTGTGGAGCTGTTTGGCATGATGGGTCTAATTGGAATAAAGCTGAGTGCAGTGCCTGTGGTTATCCTGATTGCTTCTGTTGGCATTGGCGTGGAATTCACTGTTCACGTTGCTTTGGTACGTAAAATCAGGAAGCATTTTCAAAATATTTTACAGTAAAACGGTGGCAATGGTAGGATCACAAATCCTTCCATAGTCTCCTAAGTTAGTGACACAACTCTCAGAAGGAAATTGGTCACACACAGGGCGCCATTTGGTTTGTCTTGATAGAGCAGAGCTGACCTTGATGAAGTAGTTCCTTACTATTGCCTCAGTCCCCCAGGAGGGGGATGCATTACCTGTGGTATCCAGTTGTCCAAGTGATGCAAATATACAGACAAAACACGAGCTCTTAATGCACTTTACTTCAGTCCAGACTCTCCTGATCCTTGTCTGTGGCCTCACTGTTGGTGCCTGAGTGCTGTGTTTGTTCCCTCTTGCATGTATATCTTGTGGAAGAGAAGCCTTTAAAGATGATTTTCAGAATCACATGTAGTGTGATTTGATATCTCTGGACCACTAAAATTTGAATGTATTTGGATTAATTTTCCACTTGAAAAATCTGCACCTTCTTTTCAGAACCCATCAGCTATTAATAGTGGTCACAAACATACAGTCTGTAGGAGAATAGTTTTCTGATGTGATGAGGAGGAGCAGAAAGGGGAAAAAAGTATGTCATATATAAAGATTTTCAACATTTTCAAGGTTAAGTGTCCAAATCTAGAGTGCACTTACTTACCCAGCTTAGTCAACCTGCTGTGCAAAAATGCATAGAAAAAGCAGTGCACTTGCAAGGGGGCCATTTTGGGTGTTGAAGATACACAAAACTCAACTTGCTTTATTTGGTGACAAAGAATAAAGGGCTATTTTTCTGTGTTCACACTTGACAATATCAGCACTGATCTTTCTGACATTTTGCACACTCAGCCTAAGTAATTTTCCTATAAGGCTATTCTAATTAATATTTCAGAATAGTTTAAGAATATCATTGTCTTAATGGATTTGAATTTTACTGTATTAAAAAGTAGGAAAGGATGAGTGGTCAATATATAATTTCAGGGAGGAGGGGCTTGTAGTCAGCTATAATCTCTAGTATATTAGTACTGTAGCAATCCAAAAAAGAAGTGAAGGGAGGAGGCTGGAAAGTAGTGGTGAGGCTGGATGGGAATGCAGCAGGCTTTTTAGACTCAAAAGGAGGACTGGTAGACTGCTAAAAGGATCTGGTGACAGTGAAAAAGAGAGAACTAACGGGGATCTTAGCACACTGGAGATGGCCAAATACTGGGAACATGTTGTAGACGATGTACAGAGTTGGGTTATGTAAAGTGGCAGGATGGAAAGAAGAATTTTAAGAAAAAAAAATTGTAGGGTAAGGTTAAAGAGGAGCAGCTGGATCCCTGCAGTGGTGACATCTTTTTTTCCCCTACTGCTATGGATAGTTGGGCTTTTGGAGGTAAACCTGTTTGCTAGGATTTACAGTAGTTTGGGAAGTGTCAGAAACTAATGGTGTACGAGAGAAAGGACAGTTTCTTAGAACTGAAGATTTAAAACAGGAAATCTGGAATAGAAAAGAGGACAAAACACTGATTTGTTTCTAAATGGGAAGAAACTAATTTACAGGACTTCACATACAGATATATGTACATAAAAATAAAAGTCACCTGTGGCTGAAGGTAAAATGCCAAGCAAACTGAAAATTGCATTTTTTCACACTGACTCTGGAGTCAAAAACATAGGCTTTAAGTAAAAGAGCGCCTAGTAGACCTCAGGTGATGGCAGCAGCACTTCCTGCATATAAACAGCCAAACCACTGTTGCATAAATAAAGAAGGCAATGCTGGAACTGTTGATGCAGAATGTAAGTGAACTTGTTTTAAGAGTGATTCACAGTCCACCTGTGGCTCAGTTCTCTGCTATCACTTGTGAATTGTGACCCCAGTTTTTTAATTCTGCAAATAAATGCTGAATCATTAGTAGGCTCTTGTATAATGCATCCTGTAATTACATGCATATAGTTAATATAACTTTTCAATATGTTTGTAGATTAGATCCCATAGCTCCTGTTCATGTGAGTTGTCTTATTGACAGCTGTCTTTACCCTGAGGGGGATTCTTCATCCATTTATGTATATGGGAATATAAAATGTCCTGGATACATTAATTTTCCATAGACCATTTTAATCCAGTACTAAAGATTGATAATATGTGGTTTGGCTACCTACAGTAGTGAGGGTCGGGAATCTCACTCCACGTGTACCCATTTTTGGTCTGCTTGATGCACCGAATAACTTTTTAATATGTTGACTAATTTCATCCCAGATTTGTCAGATAAGTGAAAATCACCCACTAGAGAAGAGAGACTTAAATTTGGGGACCAAGAGGAAGGTAGCTGCTTGAGCTCACATCTTAATAGGGAGTAGAAAATTTGCTGAATAGAGAGCAGGAAGAAGATCAGCCAGGTTCTTGTCTTCTTAAACCGTTGTCGTATACAGAGAAGACAAATTCATGTGAAAAAACAGCATTTGAGTGTTCTTGATGCAGCTTGTTCAGTAGGGAGCTGGAGGGAGAGAGGCATTTCACTAGCTGTGCTGTTGCTCAGTCACTACCGTGTCCAGCACTATTCCTAAGGCAATTTCATATGTATAGGCCTGCTAGCTTTGAAGTAGTACAAGTTGCAAAAATGTTTATTTTGAGTGAAATAAAGTGTTTAAAAAAAAAAAAAAAGCAGCACACAATCTAGTGTTAACTTTGTACCAGCCCTGTTGAGTACACTGACAACTTCCCATCAGTTGGGCGCTTACTGTGTGAGGCTTACTGAGCCTCAGGACAGCAAGAAGAGATGCGCTGTACCAACAGACACTTCTGTATAAAGGGAGAGATGGGCCTGATGTGCTAATAAACGCTGCTGTGGGTGTTACCATGTACCTGAACTGGAGCCACTGGTCCTTCGTCTGTGGCAAGTGCGTGGGAAAGCCCGCATCAGTATTGGCTGTTTTCACAGTAAACTTCCCACGGCGGCCATGGAAGACGTGGTCCCATGAGGGCGAGGAGGGGTAGGCCTGTAGTTTTGACACCTGAAGTGCTTTCACCATGAAATGAGTTCTTTGCAGGTGGAAGTAAGCAAAGGTAGAGACAAAACCCTGCTGGCACAAGCAGGCGTTGTTTGCAAACATTATTAGCGTGGTCTGACTCTGCAATCAGTGCTTACTCTGGTCGTGTGACTGCAGCAGCAGCTATGGGGCATGACGGCAGAATCAGGCCTTCTCTTGAAGGTTAGCCAGCTGTAGAGATGCTTTCATAAACTGTAGTTTGAAGCAAGTACCTGGTGAAAAACTGTGCGTGCTATGAGAGGGGCTCTTTGGAAGGTTGTATGCATCCATCTTAATTAAATGGATTTAATTGTTTTACAGGCGTTTTTAACTGCCATAGGAGACAGGAACCATAGGGCTGTCCTTGCATTGGAACACATGTTTGCGCCAGTGCTGGATGGGGCTGTGTCCACTCTGCTTGGAGTCTTAATGCTCGCAGGATCAGAGTTCGATTTTATTGTCAGGTAAAGCATTTGTGTGCATCTTGCCTTTCTTTTTAAAATAAAAATAAGTATGCTTTTAATTTTTAGTCACTTCGGCATAACTGTCATTTCATTACTATGCATAGTGTGTCAAGCGTGCTTGCATCATGGTCCTGCTTTCCCTCTGTTTTATTAACTCCTTGTTACATACTAGACACGGTAGTGTTTCCATCACTGGCTTTAAAATCGGTTCCAGGAAAATCTGACGCCCAGCATGAAAGAACACAAAAATGGCCCTCTTCAGCGTGGTTTGCTGATTCTGGGCTTGAGTCAGTTCAAAGCATCTGGTATTGCCCAGTGTTAGGTGGGTTTGACCTTTAGCCTCAGGTCCTCCAGACTTCTTGAATGCACAATGCGTGCAAAGGACATGTGAACCTACAACTGTGTGGCCACTGTGCTGCAAGTGGCTCTCCCAGGCCATCTCCTTCTATTGTCATGTGAGGTTTACAGCGCTGTGTAACAGGGAGAGGAAAAAAATGCCCTGTTTGGGAGCTGGGGAACCATAAGTATGAACACAGAACCTCGTATTAAAATTTTGTAAAGCAAAGCCTGAAGGCCCTTCTGTTTAGAACTACAGGCGGACTGTTCCTTGTGAATTTAATTAAGAATGTGCATTTGTCAAGTATGAGAGGAAAACGAGTTTTTCATTGGGGGGAATTTGAGAAGTGCAGTGAAACAGATCCTATTCTATTCCAGACAACCCTGTGGAGCTCTGCAAAATGGCTAATCTTGGAAATAACACAGGTTCTTTGTGGCAAACTACAGCACCAAAAAAAAAAATAAAAATAATTTATTCCAAGCCCTAAAATGGAGCTGAGGTAGAACTGGGCCAAATAATGCTCTGGAAGATGGTTTAACTACTTAGGTAGACATAAGCTGGATAGATGACTAGACTTAGCTGACATCCATTTGACAACAAGAACAACAACATGTCAGAGGCAGGAACTGAGAGAATGGCTGTTCAATCTCATCAAGGTTTTTTGTTTATGTATGTAAGAGATTTGAAGAAGGCAGGCAGTTTGCAATTAGACCTCACAAAACCTACATGAGGATTATTACTATACAGATACTGCATGTCCTGAAATAGAATTTGTATTTTTTTTCCCAAGTCAGTATTTTTTACTTCATTTTGTTGATGTTGAAGAAATAAGGTAAAGTTACTCTTTTAGGACCTCATCTTGTAAGGGTTGGAACACTTGGACGTATAGATTACTTATAGATTTAACCTTAAATTTAGAGGGGTACATCTGGTGTGCTACTTCCCTATGTAACAGATGAGATTTTGGCAGGCATATTTTTGTGTCATAGCAAATGGAAGATTGTAGCAGTCCTTCACACCAAATTTGGATTGGATGTTCTCTCAGTTTATAGAATGAGCCTTTCAACTTTTCAACTTACTTGATTTTACTTTTTTTGGCCATCAGTTTCTCATTTTCTAGCATGATCTGACTTTAGTTTGCCTAGTTTAAAAAAAAAATAAAATAAACTATGGGAGCCTGAGCGTTGTTATAGTCAGTGAAGAAGATCCCAAACTTCCGGAAAGCGATAGATTAGTCCAGCAATGTGGAAGATTAAGTAAATTAACAGACATTGTATACACCAAGTGGTCAGAGCTATAATCCTCCTGTTTATGCTAGTGTTAGATGGATGAGATGCAAGTGTTTTTAATGCCTGTTGTTGATCTCTGTCCCAGTATAAAGTTCTGGTGGTTTATGTTAGTAGAGCAGATTGGCTTGCTGATTTTTGCTAATGCAGATCAGAAATTCCAAAATGTTTACAATAGCGGGATATTTGTAGTTTTCCAGGAGTCTGATACATTTGATCAGATGTGGAAATGAGGAGGCAGTAAAATCTGTTGCCACAGCTAGACAATGTAATCAGCAGACCCATTAGCAGCAAACTTGCCCTCCATTCTTCTCCTTTGCCTTCTCCTCCAGGAATTTACTAAGACTGAGTCCTTGAAATCATTAGTTACAACACAGCCTTAAGTTTAGTCTGAGCCCCAGCTGTGCCGAATACCAACTAGCAAGGCTTTCCTTTTACTGACAGGTTTACCTTGGTATTCATGAAGGATCCCAGACCTTAGCCCTCGGTGGTGGGAAAGGACAACCACTTGTGCACTTTCCTCTTCTTCCATAGTACTTCAGCCTTTATGTTTGAATTGGCTGACGCAAAACAAGAGTATTCAGAGATGCTAAATTGTTCAACAAAAGATTAGTCTGCAATGCAGCTCTGCCATTGTGGAGCGCTCTTACCCAGTACAATGCTGAAGCTTGCTATAGAATGGGCAGCATTTTCTTTGCAGAAAACGGGTTCCTGTGTTGTAAAAAGGTTGCAATTCGAGCTATTTGGTAAAACTGGAACTCACAGAATTCTAGGCGGAAAGTTGTGATTAATGAACAGCAAGGGAAACCCTTACCTGATACACTGGAGATTTAATTAGAGATTCTGCTGTAAGATGCAGAAGCATTTCACAGTGGATTAGCTGCTGGGAGAAGAGGGCTTCTTTTCCTTCTAGGCTAAATTGTTTAAATTCTACACCCTTCACTTCATTTGTTTGCTTCTACTGGGTTTTCACTAATGGGGGCCCCTTTTCATTGTATTTGTGCTTTCAATCCAGTCAGCTATTCACTGCACATTCCATATTTTTGTGTTTGTGTAACACATTCATAAATAACATTACATGCTTCCAGATTCTGGGAAATTAACAAATGTAATTTTTTTTCTCTCCTTTATCAACTAACACTTTGGGTTGTGGAATGTAGCTTCTCTAATTCAAAAGGTAAAAACCCCTATATCTATATGTGGAAAGTGGTATAATTATTTAGTACAACGTTAGCAATATTTTAGATTTAATTTTGTTTATATATTATTTTAACATATTTAGGAGTGATTTGTAATCCCTGATTTCTAACAATATTTGTGTGTATTCTCTCCCCCAACTCCCTTGAACCCTACTTCAGGTATTTCTTTGCTGTTCTGGCAATCTTAACCATTCTGGGAGTTCTCAATGGATTGGTGCTGCTTCCTGTTCTTCTTTCATTCTTTGGACCATACCCTGAGGTCAGTAAAATTAATGGTGAACAGAAGAAATACTATCTCTGCACCCCTTCCCCCTCTCCCCCTAATCATTCTCCTTTTTTAGAAACTCCTTATTTTTTAAATTCTTTTGGATTTTTTTAGTTTTTAAGTTTCTTGCTCTAGGGGGTTTTTTTAATCTTTATTAAATGTGCTGTTTGTTATTTAGTTGATATTCTTCTACTTGTATTTTTAAAGGGTTTTTTTGGTAAGTGTTTTAGAGGCTGCAATCAGCAAACATGATACAAGTTTAGAATCATTTATGCATTTAAAAGCGTAATGTGATGTGCAGACTAGTCTGTAAAGTGAGGATTTTCCCCAATACACTGCAAAAGACACTTTGTTTTGTACACATACCTCCTTCTTTCCTACCTCACTGCCTCTGTTGCTTTCCTCAAAATATTTAACTGAGCAGACCACCAGGAAGGCCTCTGTGGACCAACAGACACCAGTGGTGGTCCACAGACCACACCTTCGTAACCATGACCGGTCTGCCAGAAGGTCCTCCCCGGTCCAGTCACCCCTCCCTGCAGTGTACTCTTGGCTCAAGCAATAATTTTGGTGGTGGAAAGCTTTATTTAGATGTTGATAACTTCACAGTATAAAGCCCGAATCCAGCAAAAAAGGATTCATAGGCACCAAATTTGTATTTGGTTGTTGATCCTTCATCACCTACTGTACAGTTAACACAATTACTCACTTACGTAGGGCTATCTTTATCACATATTAGTACAATCAGTGTGCTATGCTTCAAGTGTGTCTACATACGTATGTGTGCATACAAGAATAAAACACAAGGTATGTATACAGCACTAGTAATATTTCAGAAGAATTTATTTTTTTAATATTAGTAAAACAGTTTTGAGAACAGTGTGTAATCTGTTATATTCCTAACCGTATACGTGACCTGTCCCTTACTCAAGCAATGTATATCTGCAGATTAATTACCACAGACATTGCTATTATGTGTGTGTTCATCTCTCTTTGCAAATAGACTTTGAAATAGACATGCTTGAGGTGGTTTTATCGAAGAGGGAGGTTGGTCCGTGTGTTATTTTTATATTTATAAGTGCAAGTGCATGCACATGCACACATGCATGCAATTCCTGAGGCAGCGATACCTGGAAGGACCTGTGTACTCCTGTTTACATACGTATCCGCAGATGGAGATCCTGTCTCCTTTTCTTTCATTATTTTTTTCGGTTCAGTATAAATGTTCATCAGAAAAATGATGCTAAGGTTCTCTTTAGGGGAGCCCTTATCGCCCTCTACAACTACCTGAAAGGAGGTTGTAGCCAGGTGGGAGTCCGTCTCTTCTCCCAAGTAACAAGCGACAGGACAAGAGGAAATGGCCTCAAGTTGCTCCAGGGCAGGTTTAGGTTGGACATTAGGTAAAATTTTTTCATGGAAAGGGTTGTGAAGCATTGGAACGGGATTCCCAGGGAAGTGGTTGAGTCCCCATCCCTCAAGGTATATAAAAGATGGGTGGACGAGGTGCTTAGAGACATGGTTTAACGGTGGACAGGTATGGTTGGACTCAATGATCTTAAAGGTCTTTTGCAACCAAATGATTCTATGATTCACGGCATAGGAGGGCGTATTTGGCAGAAGAACATTTGTGTCAAGCACTAATGATTAAAAGGGTAGTGCTAATTGCATGTTACTGAATGCATTGTCATGATCAGGTTTCTCCAGCCAATGGACGAAACAGATTGCCCACGCCATCTCCTGAGCCGCCCCCCAGCATCGTGAGGTTTGCACTGCCACCCGGGCACACAAATAATGGGTCAGATTCCTCTGATTCGGAGTACAGCTCTCAAACCACAGTGTCCGGCATCAGTGAAGAGCTTCATCAGTATGAGGCCACCCAAGGCCCTGGGGCACCGGTCCATCAAGTAATAGTGGAAGCCACTGAGAATCCTGTCTTTGCAAGATCCACTGTAAGTAGCTCGCACATTGACGGGCAGGAGGACAAGAAGAGTGTTGGGGTTTTTTTTTATTTAAATCTGTTTATTTTTGTGGAAAGCTCTTTTGTAGTTCTGGCTGATTATGTTTTGTGACTTTGTGCCAAAACGTGTAAGGTGGAGAGTAAAGGCTTTCCTTGTCCTCTCCTTTATAATCAAGTTGGGGGTAAAATGATGGTACGAAAGCAGAGGTCTATGGCATGTGTGACTGCTGTTACATCGCATTGGCACTAGCCACAAGAGAGAGCTCTCAAGTCTGTTCGATGACTGTTCTCAGAGAGAGAACCGGGAGAGATTAAAAGATCCAGACCTTTTCCACACAGCTCTTTGAGGGTCACCATCTTGTGTGCCTCCCTCTGACAGCACGTTTTGGGGAGAAAGATTGATAGAGCCAAAGAAAACAGTTTCAGGGTTGTACCAAATCTTGGGCCTGTAGCATCTTGCCACCGGGTTGGCATAACTGTGATTTCAAAGGAAAGTGAAAAAGCTCTGTCTCCTACCCCTGCTGATGCTGCATGCTGAGCTGCAATGCGGATCTGTTTTTGTTCAGCAGAGGCCTAGAAATAGGTACAAGCACAGCCACATTTGAAGTTGGTCACGGTTTATTGACTGATGTGGCTGCTGCGCTTCACGCTTTTTACAGACATCAGAAAACAGATTCCTACAGTCTATACAAACTACCCTACTAACATCCTGTGTGTGTGCCCTGCGTGGAATAGAGCCGTTCCCAAATGCCCGCAGTTCTGCTTGTCGAACGAGTTAAGAGCAAGTGCTTGTCACCCTTCCCCTTTGAAAAGATGGACCAGTATGTGGGAAGCTTACAATAGTGTTTTCAGCTGTCGTCCTGTTTTTCTGAAGGTATGCTTTCCAGGTTTTAAGAACTTCAGACAAAAATTATCTGGAAAAATCAAGAGTTGCCAGACTCCGGACCATTACCTGGGTGGCGTTAGGGCCAGGACAGCGTGATTATAATTGTTCTCAGCATAAAATAGGATTTGTTTGCTTCGCTTTGTCAGAGGCATGACCGTGTATCTCTCTTTCAGGTGGTTCAGCCAGAGACGAGGCATCAGTCGAGCCCCAGGCTACAGTTGAATCCAGAGTCTGGCACGCAGCAGGCATGGCATCAGGGCAGACAACCCAAACGGGAAGCAAGGGAAGGGCTGCGACCACCCCCTTACCGCCCTCGCAGGGACGCTTTTGAAATTTCTACTGAAGGGCATTCAGGACCTAGTAATAGGGATCGCTTGGGCCACAGGGCTCGTTCTCATAACGTGAGAAGCCCAGCGTTCAGCGCCGCGGGCGCCGCGGGGCCAGCGTACTGCCAGCCTATCACTACTGTGACTGCCTCAGCTTCAGTGACTGTTGCTGTCCACCCTGCGGTGCACAGCCACGGCTCTCGGGGAGGGAGCTTTCCCTCCTATGAGGGATACCATGAAGCTGACCACGGGCCATTTGAGGACCCCCATGTGCCTTTCAACGTGCGGTGTGAAAGAAGAAATTCTAAAGTAGAAGTTATAGAACTACAAGATGTTGAATGTGAGGAAAGGATGCCTGGCAACAGCTCACAGTAAGGTAGGTCTGTCTCCTGTAGCTGCAGGCTTTGCCTGTGCCAGGCAATGGTGTGATCAAAAGGAAGGGGAGAGAAGAAATTTCCCTGAGGTACCTTTCCTTTGGCTAGGTTAACTTACTGGTCACTGATCTTCCTAAAGCTGCTCACTGTGAATACAGTACATTTTGCACTAGAAGTCAGGTTCGATAAGGTAGTGCTTTCCAACACTGAAAGTTACAGTGGGTTCACGTGTGAACTACTTCAGAGAGCTTTGCAAAGTGGGGCAGTGTGTTGTACAGTCACAGCTTAACCAGGTGAGGAATATGAAGCAGAGGCATGGCGTAGCATCTTCAAAGCTGCGCGACTGCGTTTGCCGTTCATAGGTCCCGTTTTCTGATCCCTGAGTTGGGCATGCTCTAAAACATCGTACAGGACAACATTGCCTAGCAGGGTGTAAAATTGCCAGCTACTCTTAAGAGTTGTCCTCTCTTGAATGAAACTCCATGCAAGAACTTGAAGTCCGTAGCAAGGGCTGGATCCCTCTGGAAGATGGGCTGAGTGAGGGGTGGGAAGGCCCCACCATGCTTAGCGCACTGCTGCTCGGCGAGGTGTCTCCTGCACTTCGGGGGGTGTTCAGAGACCCCCCGAAACTCAGGCACTGGAAGAGTCCTCGGGCCTGTCTCTCCCTTGCCAGGGGCAGCTGCAGTGGCTGCTGCAGATTTGGGTAGGGTAGAGCTGACCTAGTGGGGCATTTAGCGTGTGCCTGTGAAACAGCAGTCGCACCCAAGAACTCGTGGCACTTGATACCTAAATCGTTGTCTGTCTTTAGGCTGGCAAGAGAAGGTTCCAGGACACAGTGCTGTTTAGAACATACAAAACATGCTGTTTAGACAGGATGTTTTAGCAGATGTTTGGAGAAGAATAAAGCTGTTAGTTTTCTTGAAAATTTTCCATTAATTTTATAGGGGAGAAAACAAGTGAGTTTACCCTGAAAGCTTTTCGGGGCTTGTGCTTGAAAAACCATTTCTCGCTGTTTTAACTCTCTTTTTCTCTTTTGGGGGAAAGAGGAAGCGTAAAATAGTTACTTCGCTGTGGATCACTGTTTTCTCTTGTTGCTTTTTGGAGCTTTTCAGTGACAGCTTGACCACAGCAAGCTGTTTTATTTCGGTTGTAGAACTATTTTACGTGTATGCGCACGCGCGCGCGGAGAGTTCTGATGGAAATTTTTTGATGTCTCACCAAACATCTCAAAGTGCAAATAGGCATGAATGCCTTTAGCATAGAAACATGGCAAGTAACAGTATCCTCAGAATAAGGAAATACTTGGGCTTAGCTTTTTTTAAGCTGAACTGCATGGTAATATGAGATTCTTAACTGTGCACAGTATTCAATGTAGCATATTTCTCCCTGAAGTGTTCATTGATTTTGACTGAATTTGTCGCAGGTGTCTAAAGCTGGAAACTCGGAAATTAAAGCATCCACATTTTTTTTAATTGGCATCAGTATTTCTTTACCAGGAAATTCATGACTTGAGATGAAAGCAGAGCCCACGTTTCCTGACTGCTGACTAACCACAAGAATCATGAAATGAGTTTTGGATTAGCTTGATTTGTTTATTTTTCTTGAACTTTAATGCATGTTTGTTTTTCTTCACTCTTTATTTGTAAAGGGTAATAACTGAAGCAAAGAAGAGGCCAAAGATGGAAAACTGTATTTCCAGAACTGCTTGAAGAGAAGAACTGCTTGAAGCTGTAGAAAAGGACATGCTGCATCAGGACGACAGTTCACTGTTACTGTAACCTATTGTATTATTTTGTTAAATATTTCTTTAAGTATTTAAAAGATGTACACATATGTAATATACAAAAGAACAATGTAAAGTAGTATAATCTGGAGTTGTTTGCCTCTGGGCAATAGAATGGGGACAATATTGTGTGCGCTTTGTACTTTTTGTACATTGATCTCTGTGCCACAACTAAGCTTAATGTAGTTTTAAATTTCAGCATAAGTTGCTGCTGCTTAAATATTATATAATTTCCTTGTATAATTCTATGCAAATATTGCTTATGTAATAGGATTTTTTTTAAAGGTACATGTCTGTTTAAAATATTTTGAATTTGCGTATCACAACCCTGTGGTAGTATGAAACGTTACTGTTAACTTTCAAACACGCTATGCGTGATACTTTTTAAAATAAGCAGATATGAAGAAAAGCAAGTTAATCTGGGAGGCTTAAATAGATTTAGCTGTGTGCAGGTTTTGTTTTGCTGTGTGTATCCATGCGTGCATCTGGAAGTGTGCATGCTTTGGTATGTATGTTCCTGGTGTACTGTAGTTTCTCTTTTACTGTATGGCAACACTTAGTGGGCTTACAAACCCACTGATGCTGATGTGAGTCTGGCTTTCCCTGTTAGTAGGCACTAGTGAAAACTCTGTTGGTGTTTACCAATGTATACCATGGACTGCCATCATCAAAGGCCCAACTGAAATAGAAGAGAAGGCAGGGAGTCAGGGTTTGGAGTTGTGGTTTGGTTTCCCTCGCTCTTAATGACTTGGTTTACGTAACTTTGGTCAAGTCACTTAACTGCCCCATGCCTTGGTTTCTTGTTCTGTAAAATGGGTATAATTTACACTTACCTACCTCCCAGGAACATTGTGAGGCTTAATTACTGTTCGTGTAGTGCTTTGATTTTTTTTTTTTTTTTTTTTTTCAAAAGGTGCCAGGTAAGTGCAAACACTATAACCATTACTTTTTTCACTTCCAAAGGTGCTGGATATTGAGAGGTGCTGGTGGTTATAGAAATTCAATGAGCATATGCCTTATTTTGATACTGATACTGTTAACTACGAGTGGCATTAGAAGCTGGATAATTGAGTTGTTCAATGGTGAGCCACAGCTCAGCTGTGTCCTTACAGTATTGAAAGCAGTATCTTTGGTCACCTTATTTTCATGGCAGGAAGGAAGTCAATAGAAAGTGATAAAAATCAAATGGAAGGATTAAAAAAAAAATCTATTTCCGCTTTTTAAATATGAACTACTTTCTGATGGGTCCAGGACTGTAATGTCATGTGAAGCCTGGGGTGTTCTTTTCTCTATTGTTTGTGTTTTCCCATCCTGCATTGGCACTTTTAATTAAAACAGCTAAACTGGGATCTCTGCGAAACTAATTTAGCTTTTTGTATTATTATTATTATTTTTAAACTAAAGGGGGATTGCTGCAGGTGAAGGGTCTGAAAAAAACGCTACAGTCTGTGTTCCAGTTGGAAACAAACCCTAAGAATGGAGAACCTTAATGTAAAATAATAGAACAAAAGTTATCAGTGTCTCCGTCTTCCTCTTCGTCTTTTTTTCTGCCCTTCTCTGAGCTGTTTTTTTAGAGCAGGTAGATGCTCAATTGTGTGTTCAGAGCCAGACAGACGCTACCGGTAATTCCATTGCTAAACACAGCAGCAGTGGGGCTTTTCTTTAAGTGCGATGCCTGCACAGCAGCGGCCAAGTCTTTGATGGGAAAGTGTTTTTCTCCAGTGGCTTCAGGGAGGCTTATCTTTGCCCACAGACCTTGCCAGCATACCGAATGGGGATAATTAGAATGCACAAATTTCCACGGCTTTTTTGTTTGTTTGTTTTTGTTTTGCTCACTTGAAAACACTTTTGATATGAGGCACTTGTTTACAGATCTCCAATGTGAACGCTCAAAGAGCAGGTGGCGAGAGCCTGGTGTCATTCCCGTGATACATAAGCTACTGTCTCAATGCACACTAAGGGTTTAACGTCACAACTGCCGACTGGTCCAGTTCACTGTTTAAGGTGAAAACGAACTCTTTTTAAGGACAAAAAGAGACGAGGGGCCCCCATTTAGCACTAGCAGCACAGTGACCTCGGATCATATGAACTCTGCCACAAAACTGTATGATACAAATTTGGAAGCCACCTTCCGCCGCCAGGCCCGTGCACTCCCAAGTGTGTCAGGAGGACGGCAGGGCTCCCGCTGACACCAGCCCTCTTCCTTGAGAGGGAAGAGGACCAGGGCCAGCTGCCGCGGGGTGGCCTACCTGCCCCTGCCCAAGTCCTCCCTCCTGAGGTGAGGCCGTGCGGGGGGCGAGCGCTCCGCTGCTGCCTGCAGAGTGTAGACCACCACCTTCCGTCCTCATGTTGGCAAGGGGAGAGCTCAGTGGCTGGCAAACATTTGTTTTCTTTCAGTTTTGGGGTTTTGGTTTTTTGGTTGGTTTTTTTTTTTAACTTTTTTTAATCATGGGTGATATTTATATTTTTGTATCATAAGAGTGTTTTCTTACAGTATTTGTCATGCCAGTTTATAACAAACAAGATGCAGGGATTTTATTTCTATAGGAAACACTATTACAGCTATGTTTTTACTGTTTAATGGATTTTTATTTGTATAGAGTGCTTACTAATGTTAAATAGGAAAGAGTATATAACATTTACATTAAGGACTCGTCGTAGCTTTTAGCATAAGGAGTTAAAAGGAAAAAAATATTCAAACTGGGTCTCATTGCCTGCCAGTTTTGGTAGGAGTGGGTTTGTGTCATTTCAGTTACAAAGATAAAATTATGCCATATAATTTATTTATATGAAAATTTATTTTTGTAGTGTACATAGTAGTCATCAAGTCTTTTGACAGAAGTATATTTTTAAAGAGTTTATATGTAATGATGATACCATTATGTTTTGGAACACTGCTGAGATATGATTACGGTGCACACTTTTCCTTGTAAACCCCCTGGCAGAAAAGAAAGTGTTTAACAGTGTCACGAGAGAAAGAGAGTGTGAATATTCATACAATTCTGAACTGTGTTTTAGTTACCATTTGTGATCTAGTGTGGTTCTCATTTTAAACTTCAGATGGAAATTGTACAAACTCTCTAAATATTAATGTTCAAACACTGATAGAAATTCTAACATGAATAAAAGATATTATAACTTATTGGTTACGGACTTGGTTGTTTGTAGAATGCTTCTTTATGGTCTGCTGATCAGCCGTTCAGGGACAACTGGGCAGTCATTCTGGTCTGGAGCATGAATTTGGGGTGTTTCGGTATCCGGGATGTTTGGGGATTCAGATTTGGCCATTTTGGAGCAGGAGCCAATTCTAAAATCCTGTCTGAATTGTAACACACTTGTCTGTTGATTCTGTGGCCCTTGTCGTGTCTCAGAGGGCTGGGTTTCGGACCAGGTTATACCTTTAATACTCTGAACGAAGCATTTTGTGTAGACTTTGAATGCTTGGGTAAAGCCATTTATGTGCAGGTTATTTCTGCTTAGAGCTGGGAGGTGATCCTTTGTCTTTCTCTGTCTCTGTGGTTGCTCCCTAAATCGGATTGGAGAAAGAGTCTTGTTTTTCCCACCTCATGGAACAAAAAATAAATAAAAACATGGAGTCCTGAAAACTGCAGCGCTCGGTAAGGAAGGAGGCGTTGGACAGAACACCGTCAGGGCAGCGTGCTAGCAGCTGCAATCCCGGATGCAGGCCCCGGTGCTGCTGGGGAAGCAGGAGAGGCTACTGCAGGCAGCGGGACGAGTTTTGCATGGGGCAGCATCTGCCCAAAGTCACTTGCATCGTAAACCTCCGTGTGGTTTGTCCTGGGCAAGCGTGCTCAGCTGAGCATCCACCTGAGGGCCACAGAGCTGGCGATCCTTTGCTTTATCCAGTAACCCTTAGGTTTTGGGGGTTTTCTTTCATTTTTTTTTTTCTTTTTTTTTTTTTTTTCTTTTTCATTGTTTCTTTTCTTTTTTCTCTCTTTTTTCTTTTTTTTTTTCCCCTACAAGTCTTCTAAATTTCTCACAAACAAAAAGCCCGAACGTGTCCCAAGATAACTTACAATTCATCCTCTACTTTTCATGGTCAGAGGAAATAGAAAATACGACTTTTTATTTTGTGTTTTCTGGAAGTTTAACCAGAAAAGAGAAAAATACATGACTTGCACTGCACAATTCCTACACATGGGCTTTTATTTTTTTTTGCTACTCCAAATACTCTCCCTCAGATCCTCGGGACCAGCCAGACTGAGCCAGGCTGCCGGTTTGGCCTCGGCGGGTCGCAGTCCGTGAGAACGGTGGCCACTGAAGTCATGCATTAGCTCAACTCACTGACTTCGCCTTTTGTGTTCCAGCCATTCACAGGAGCAGCTCCATTCATGGGACTGGAAACCATATGAATAAATCAATACATTCTGCCCGTCAGAACACAGGTTTTTTCTTTAAAAATCCCATTTTGCCTCAATGATGGCTATTTGCCTTACATTACTTGTCATGTTTAGATTTCTTATAAATGGCTCTTCTTGCTGTCAGTCATCTTAACCCCAGGTAAGACCTTAATCAGATTTTTGTCAGGGATTGGCCATATTCATTCAGGCCTTAAGTAAACATGTGGCCAAATTTTTGTTGGCATAATACACATATTTAACAGCTCCAGGAATGCTGCACGCTGCTGAAGTGCAGCAGCACTGATGTATGAACAGGTGTTTCATTTTTGTTAACTTTCACTCCCAATGAGCATCTGAGACACCGGCTGTTTATATCTGCAAACCACCTTTGCCAAATTGTAATTACTTTTAATGGCCGCTACAAGTAATGAGAAAATTACTACTTCCCTGCTCCATTTAATCATTCTTGTCCTTTTTGTTGCAGACACGTTGAACCTTACCACTAGAACAGGATGCATGCCAGGAAACTGCACGGCCCAGCCTGAGCGGCTTAAAAAAAATACATGCCCAGTTTTAACTTTACATGGTTAATTGCAGCTAATTAAACACATAAGAACGAAGCGGTACTGCTGCTTTGACAAAAGAAGTTTGACATACATCCTGGCAGATCTGGTACTTGCAAACCATCCTGCCTCCGTGGGTACTGCATAAGCAAAGGAAATCTCTGCCTCAGGTTTTAGTTGTCTGCAGTGGCATCCAGGCCACTCCACTGCCACCCTGCAATAACTTGTCTTAGGAACCTTTTTCCATCCTCATTTTAACAGCTGTGACTGCACATGTTGCTAGGGTTTCTGCTGCCTCAGCAGCTATACCTGCTTGCCGCTGATGGAGAGTAAGGCTGCAGCAGAGAAAATCGTGTCTCCCTCAGGTTAGTGAATGTGCTGTAACTCAGCTTGCCCTAAGAAGCACGGAACACAAGGCAGCATGCCTTTTAATTTGTGTTGCTAGTCGGAGCATCCTCCCAGGCCCTTCTCAAGCTGTCAGTGAGGAGTTGCTGGATCTTTGAGACGGCTCATTTGAACTACGGCCTCACATTCACACGGTGGAGATCCACTTTTGCCCAGCGGAGCACAAAACCCCCGTGTCTTTTCTGCCTGGTCTTCCCATTCCTTGAGCTCAAACCTTCGCAGTTGGGCTGACTTTGCAGGCCCCCAGCTGCCCGCAGACACCACAGCCTTGTGAGACATGCTGGGGAGCCAGGAAGGGGGAGGGTGGGTTGGAAACAGCTTCCCAAGGCAAGGGAGGGCTCTGCCTCTGCTGAAGAGGAAGGTCTGGGAAGGAGGGGCCAGGCTTCATTCACGGGTGAGCGAATTAGGTGGGTCTCCCCATCTGTTGAGGGGGAAAGACCACTGAAGTGTTTGAAAAGTGATTTATGGCAGAAGTGAGAGACTCTGGGGGCTCTGGAAGCAGGAGAGCTCCACCATCTGATTTAGGAGACCCACAATGGTCTTGTGAATGTATTTGAAAGCCTAGGTAAGGCTGATTTTTCTGTTCCAGCTTGTGTCCACTTCAGCAACCCTGCATTTTTTGTTCTGACGCTTACATTGGGGAATAGACTTGTAGGGAGGAATGTCTGGCTAGCCTTTTGAAAGAGAGGGGAAGGGAAAGGAATTAAACAAGGATTATTTGGTAACTAGAAAGGACTCAAAGGAAGAGTAGCATTATCCTTCTTTTTTTCTGGCTTTTGTTACTTTGACAAAGGCAAATCTTTCCTCTTACTCTCACTAGTGGCAGGTGCTGTGTCTTGCCCAGAAGACAAGAGGTTGCACCTCTCTGGGCTGCCAGACTTTGGCAGGGCTTTATAAGGGGGGAGCTCACTTTTACAGGAGCCTGTGGCCACAGAGTGCTGCTCCTGCACTAAGGTGGCTTTACTGGAAGTATACGTGACTGTAACAGTCACCAAAAAAGGGTGACAAATGACCTTTGAGATGGCTGGATTCAAACTAATAATCTTGAGATTAAAATGCCAATTTACCCTTTCCTAGTTACCAAACATAGGACCCATCTGTAATTACCTCTCTGAGACAAATGGGTTATTTCTTCTCATTAAATACGGGACCAGATATTTTATTAGTTGTTAAGACTAATAAAGGTAAAAGTCTTGAGTACCTTATTTCAGTAAGAATAACTGGGGTAAATAGGAAACTCACAACTTTCATCCCAAGTAACTGGCATTTGCTGTAAGAGAATTAAAACCCTCTTTCACTTTATTGCTTCCCTATTATGCAATTATTTTAAGTAGGCTATTTATTTTAACTTAAGAGCGTTTACTTTGGTAGGCAGTATAATGTGCTTCTGTACCATTTAGCAACATTTTAGAAGACTAACAAGTTCAACTTTAAATGGTTGTAAAGACTCAGGGAGGGTGTTACCGTACAGCATCACATGCCCTAGGGTGCTACCTACACAAATTATCAGATGACATCTAAAAGCCAGCTAAAGCTTTTCGTTTTGCAGTTAGCAGTATAGATCGTTTTACCTGGCAAAAAGGCAGGGGGAGGCTCTTTTTGTTCACTTTTCTCTCCTCAAAACTTGCAAAAAACTGTCAGAAAAGTTCTTGTGAAACTAAATGAACAGAAGTATCCATGGCATGAGCTCTGTGGACGCCATGCATTTAGTTTCATTCAGCCTGGCCCTCACTGAATCAAGTGAGGAGACAGAACTATATATTAAGGGGAGTTATTTTTAGCCCCTAAAAAGATCTACGTATGACTGTAACTGATTATTAAGCATATAACTGGTGAAAATATTAACAAATACATAAGCTGTGGTGTCCAACTCCTCTGCTTATGATACTTAACATTGCTCCATTTAGTTAATTTAACTTTTCACTTTAACTTTTCATGCAGAGTGAAATGCGTAATGCTGTTATTAGGCACTTCAGCATAATTTTGAGGAAAAGTGTATGCACCAGGGCAAAAAGTGCTTTTGAGCATATTGTCCATGAAAGCTTTAATCTCATTCATAAATTGGTTTCCCAATTAGATAGTTCATGGATTTCAACCAATTTCAATGGATGTTCCCTAATGCAATAGACTGTAATGCTCTAGAGTAACCATTACATCCTTTGAACCAGCAGCCCGTAAACTAACAAGGATTTACAGGTTAGTTGGTTATGGTTCCTTAGGAACCCCACAATTTAAGAAGGATGTGAAGGTCCTGGAATGCATCCAGAAGAGGGCAACAAAGCTGGTGGAAGGGTGGGAAGGCATGTCCTGTGAGGAGCAGCTGAGGACTCTGGGCTTGGCGGGTTTGGAGAGGAGGAGGCTGAGGAGCGACCTCCTTGCTCTCCACAGCTCTCTGAGGAGGGGAAGGGGAGAGGGAGGTGCTGAGCTCTTCTCACTGGGATCCAGTCATGGGATGCATGGGAATGGTTCAAAGCTGCACCAGGGGAGGTTTAGATTGGACATCAGGGAGCATTTCTTTACTGGTCAAACCCTGGAACAGGCTTGCTAGAGAGGGGGGCGATGCCTCAAGCCTGTCAATGCCTTCAAACGAGGCATTTGGACAGCGCCCTTAACAACACGCTTCAACTTTTGGTGAGCCTGGAAGTGGTCAGGCAGTTGGACTGGATGATCGTTGTAGGTCCCTTCCAACTGAAAATATTCTATTCTATTTTATTCTGAACATTTAAACATTTTGTTATTGAAATAAGCACCCATGGAAATTCCTGCCAA